AACACTCTAATAAGCAAAAACTAGCTATATAAATGCAAGAAAACAAACTAACTAAGTCGCATAAATATGCTCCTATCATTTGTCTCTCGATCGGGACCCAAAGAATTTCAATGAAGATTGCGCTAGTAGATTGAAAATGACAAAGCAAGTTAATTTTGTGCATAAACATTGTAGCAATAGCTTGAGTATGTTTTGGATGTTGTGACATTGTTGCCTACACTGTTATATAATGTAAAGTGTGTTGGGGATTTGTTTTTGTGTTTATTTTCAGACTTTGTAGGGAGATGAAGGTTGGGGAGGGAGAAAGGGGGTGGGGTGTTTGGGTTGCAGGGAAGGGGAAGGGCTCGGGGAAGAAGATGGGTTTTTTTTATTTTTTATTTATATATATAATAATAAATAGGGTAAATTATTATAATTTTAAATGGATAAAAAATTATTTTTTGCCATGTGGCACAAATTTGGCAGCCACGTTAGCTCTTAACGGACCAATGGATAGAAAATGTAACGAATGTATTATATTGAAATAAAATAGTAGGTGAGGTATGCAAGTGAAATATTTTGAAGATATTGTATAAAGTTGCAATAAACTCCAAACCTGAGATGGTAAAGTGTAATTTACCCATTAAAAAATCACCAATTATAAGGTTAAATGAAAAAAAATCTCTTTCATAAGTGGGGTGCTTATTCGAGTGTTTGAGTTCAAGAGAGAGACTAGTGAAATGGAGATGAGTCTAGAAAGGGTTAACGGTGGAGATCTAATATCAGGTCTCAAAACAAAACGCGCGTTTCATTTATTTCTTTTCCCATCGGTCCAAAACGACTTCGTTTTGGGCTTGGGTGTTAAAAAAAAAAAAAAGGTTAAAAACTTAGCAACTTCATCGCTGCAGCGCAACGCCCAAACCAAACAAACCTAGATTCCGGCATAGCAGAAGGGTGAAATTCTTACTCTTAGTGGTGATTTTTGATGAGCGGAGGGGCGGCCGCCCCTCCTTGCGCCTCTGTGGCTTCGACACTGGGTGTTTGGATAAATAGTTCTAGCATTATAAGGTGGCTCAAGAGTTGGAGCGTTATGGTGAGCTTGGAATGAATCGAGTAGAAAGGGTGAAAAAAATTACTTGTGGCCGATGATCTTGAAATTACAGATGCCTAACAAGCTTACGCATTTTATATGGAGATGCTGTAACAATTTTCTAGCTCTTAAAACTAATCTTCCAAGGAGAGGAGTACGGCTTGCAACTGAATTATGGAGTGCTCTATGCCTTTTGGGTAGTTAATGAGATTTGACCGTTTATGCTTAATCTGTGCACTTAATGAATGATCTTAATTTCACGTTGATGATAATTAAGAACTGAATTTATCTTTATAATACATGTGAATTTTATCATTGGTTAAACTTGGAAGTATGCTTTGATGCAATTTGGATGAGATAAGCGAAATCAAGGGTACGGGTTTGATTGACCGCATAATTTGTAATTAGGGTTAATTTAGAGACTCGTAGAATCGCAATTTCAAAGACTGTCGATTTAGAGTTTTGTGGTTTGAGAAAAAAAAATGATTTTTGGCAAAACTTGTTTGATTTCCTTCTATATGAGATGAACTAACCGCGAGAATGCACCTTTCCTTTCATTTACTACTTTTCATTTGGAATTAATAGGAAATTGAAAGTTTTAACATGCAAAACGGGGTCGTCGAAATCACTCAAAGAATTAAATTTTTTTTTTAATGAAAATGGCTTGAAAAGTTTTAGTTTTAATAAAAAAAACTATGTTATAAGTTTTGTTTAATGATTAGTACAAGACTCATATTAAAGTAGTCCAATTAAAAGTGGCCCAACTATAATAAATTATGCCCTGTCGATTTTACCCCTAACTTTTTTAGGTTGAGTTCCAGATTTTCGTCGTTAATGGAGTTCATCGTTGTTTTGCAGACCTTCTTCTTTTTCTTTGAAACAAAAATATAGATCTTCATGCTATTTAATTTATATTTTGTATTATTTCATTGAAATGTGATCGTCGTTATTATTCATAGTGTATTCGAGTTTTTCAAATTTTCTTTGTCAGTAGAGTTCATCGTTTGTTTCTCCAGAAAATAAATTTGAGATCTGCATGCTATTCAATAATAACGACGGGTCACTGTTTCTTGATTGTAAAAAAATAAACTGTTTCTGGATTTAAGTAACACTGTTTATGGAATCTAAGTCACTATTTTTGGATCCAAATAAAATAGACACACTGTTTCTTAAATGTAAGCTAGAAAAAAAAGGGTAAATTACACAGTAGCCCCTCAGGTTTTGAGGTTTATTACAACCCCATACAACAACTTTAAAACAGTTCACTTTCATACCTCAAGTACTATTTTATTTCAATATAATACATCCGTTAGATTTTCCATCCATTAATCCGTTAAATGCTGACGTGGCTGCCACATTTGTGCCACGTGGCCAAAAAAATAAATTTTTAATTATTTTTTTTAAAACCTGAATTTTCTCAACAAAAAAAAAATCAAAAATTGAAACCCACATCTGCAACCAGCGATCAGAAGGAGGAAAAGAAGGAGAAGAAGAAGGAGGAAAAGAAAAAAAAAATTTGTCCCTCCCCCAACGACCAGAAGAAGAAGAAGAACAACAAGAAAAAGAAGAAAGAAGAAGAAGAAAGAAGAAGAACCCCCCCGGCGACCCTCCTCTCTTCCCCCCCCCCACCGCCGCGCCCAGCGACCCTCCCCCCACCCCCCCTCCCCGCGCGCGCGCCAAGCGACCCCTCTCCCGGTGCCCAACGTCTTCTTCTTCTTCTTCTTCTTCTTCTTCTTCTTCTTCTTCTTCTTCTTCTTCTTCTTCTTGCAGTGGGTTTCTATTTTTTTTTTCTTTTTCTTTCTTCCTCCCTCCTCTTCTTCTTCTTGCAGATGTCGGTTTCAAATTTTATTTTATTTTTTGAGAAAATTCAGGTTTCTTAAAAAAAATTAAAAATTATTTTATTTGCCACGTGGCAGACATTTGGCAGCCACGTCAGCATTTAACAGATCAATAGATGGAAAATCTAATGGATGTATTATATTGAAATAAAATAGTACTTGAGGTATGAAAGTGAAATGTTTTAAAGTTGTTGTATGGAATTGAAATAGACCCCAAACCTGAGATATGAAAATGTAATTTACCCAAAAAAAAAGTGAAATTTATTGTATTTGGATTCAAAGTAAAATGAGCACCCTATTTCTTAAATGTAATTAACTGATGCATGAAAGATAAGAAACAGTCAAAGGTTAAAATATAAACTGTTTCTGGAATCTAAATCACTATTTCTGGATTTTGATTCTTTTCTTTCCAGATACAGTGTTTGTTTGTGCACAAATAAAACAAACACTTTATCTGATTTTTTTTTTCCAGAAACAGTGTTATGTTTTGGGTTCTCCAGAAACAGTTTTATGTTTTAGTTTTTTTATTTTTTTCCAGACACTTTTTCGCCGATTCCTGCCATTAAACTTCTTTGAACTTGTTTCGATGACTTTGTTCCGATGAATGCTTCCTTTTTCAACTTTGATTTGAACTTTGATTTGGTTGTTTTTGAAATGGGGGAATTCGATTTGATAGGAAGACAGGGAGTTATTATGGCAGTTTCGTGCTGGGTTGAGGTCGGTGAAGAGTCAGAACAATATCGAATCATTTAGGGGTATTTACGAAAATGTAAATTTGTAACAGGTTAGGCTTGTAAGTTTGATCCGTAGACAATAGTTTTAGATGGTTTTTTATTAAACTTTGAGCCTTTTGGTTAAATAACATTTTGGGATGATTTTTGGTTAAATATTTGTTAGCGCAATCCCTTTTCATTAAAGCTCTCTAAAAAAAAAGGCTTAAGTGAATTAATAGTCCGGATAGTTGGAAGATAGCTCATGTGATAGTAAAAAAACTAGGATTTAAGCCCCTGTGATAAAGTTTATTAGAATTTATGCTCAAAATTGAAAATTTCGTCAAATTTCTGTTAATTATTAGCACATGAGCCAGCCCCATATGTTAACAATTAACGAAGAGGTCCATTTTAGTCTAATATGTATATGGAGAGTTCTGTTTTAGCCTAATATGTACGACTCACGTGTTAATAATTAACAAAAAATTGACAAAATTTTCAATTTTTGGCATAAATCCTAACAGACTTTACCATATGGGCTTAAATCCTAATTTTTTCACCACATGAGCTATCTTCCAACTACCTTATCACCACGGGAACCATTAATCCAATTAGGCCTAAAAAAAATATGAAGTCTCGTTTTGAGTAATTATTATCACGATTATACCATAAATGGTTACTATAGATATGTTTGTGTTTTGTGTAAAATAGATTTGGTTATTTAAGAAATAAATAGTAATGGTTAATCGAGTACATAAATGAAAAAAAAAAAGTTACCTGGGCAAAAGTATCACTTTTTTAATATTGTCTTTGAATGTGCATAAGAAAACATGCTTTTACTTTCACGTGCTGAAATTGTTTTCTGTTAACTTACTCTGAAAAAGATTGGATCTTTGATGGTTCTTATACGTTTGAGTTCGTGTAGGCCTATCAAATCACTTGACGTACAAAAATCGGCTGCATGAATATGCCCAAGGAGCAGGCTTCCCGCTTCCCGTTTATCTGACTTTCAATGAAGGAAATCGAAATGCACCATCAATTTTTAGGTCGACCGTGTTGGTGGATGGAGTTTCCTACACATTTGCTAGGCGAAAAGCAGCCGAGCAAGATGCTGCTAGAGTGGCCATGATCACATTTGCTAGGCGAAAAGCTGTCGAGCAAGATGCTGCTAGAGTGGCCATGATCAATATGACAGAGAATATAAACGATGAAGTTCCTCCTTTTAATGAGGTTTGGGTTTCTATGTTCAAAGTTTCAGTTTGTGTAACACTTAGATATATATATATATATATATATATATATATATATATATATATATATATATTTGTATATACATATATTATAGGAGTAGGATTATTTTAGTTAAAAAAATAAAAAAAAAAGAGGCCAAACAATTAGTCAAGGATGAGCTAACGTGTAGCCATCCCAAACGCTTCTTCTTCTTTCCAAGCATCACATGGTGGGGGAGCCAAGGGAATCAGATTCTGTCCATAAATGTTGGGGTGATGTGGGTAGTCTAGGGGGTGTGAGTAAGCATTCTAAATCAGAAGAGGTAATGATGGGCTTAGAGGGAGTATTCCTAACTCTCACTGAAGAATTAGAGGAGAGTGTGAGGTTTTGGAAAGGGAAAAGTAGGAAATCGGAAGAGGGAAGCTGAGAGGGTGTTGGTGTATTCTTCAATTTGTACAAAAGGTTAGTGTTTGAATTTGTTAATTTTCTATTTTTCTTACCACCGCAACCTTGTTTTCTAGAAACCAGCAGTTTCATGAGCCTCACTTTGGCTCTTATTTTCCTCTCAATCCATTTCGTCTTTTTAAAGAGTCTTCTTATATATTTGAAATTAGACATGACAAGGTTCAAAGCCCAATTTATTTCATCGATTTTGGTTGAGATCTTCTATGGAAAAATATGATTTGACAATGTGAAAAAATCTGGAAATCTGCAGAATTTCTGCAGAAAAACTGGTTGTGAACTCAACTTTGGGGCCTGATTATATCCTTCTCTTAAATCCGTTTTGAGAAACTCATAGTAGATTAGAAACTAGGTTTGTTTAGCTTTAAAATCCAAGTAATTTCATCATTTTCCATGGAGTTTTGAGGGATGAAAATAGGGTCACAATATGGGGACTTAAGCTTGGTTTTCACGGGGTTGTGATGGGTATATTCGGGTAAATCTTTGTTAGGCTGAAATCGAATTTTTCATTTCCAGTTTTATGCTAACTTTTACTTTTATGTATGTGATGTTAGGCCTGGGAGCGACTCCGGACACTTCGGAGGCTTAGAGAGGTATTATAGTTAGCTGGACAAGAGGTAGGGACTCTATTTCCCGATGATAGATCTATATCATGGTTAATCTTTGTGATATTAGTAATTATATCTAATACAGTAGTAATGAAATGCTTGGGTGATTTTGAATCAATTGATTGTCATGGTTGTGTTTAGGGTTAATGGCTTCTTTTTCGATGTACTATATATATTGACTTTGTTAAATGTTGTTATGTTTTGATGAATGGTTGAGTTATGTAAAATTGTGGGACTGACTACGTTGAGAGTTACAATTATGTTTGTTAAATTGAAATGCTTTTGTTGCATTACATGTTACAGAGTTAAGTGTTGGGTTGTGTAAACTTGGTTAAGCAAAGTGTTGAAAACTTATATATGTTCAAGCGTAGGGTGAAGGGCTTGAACGTATAGTTGGGCGTCGGGGGAAGGGCCCATGTTAATGAAACTGAAATTGCTAATAAAATTAGGGGTTAAGGGAGAAATGGGAGTTAATTTATATTTTATGGTATTTGGAACCAAGGGGTATAAGCATAGTATGGGACGTGCAGGTTTGGATGCTATAAATATAAGTTAGCGGGATTAGAAGGGAGTGAGTTCATGTGTTTTTCTTTGTCTTCTTATTTGTATTTTTTTTACCGTATTGTTTGAGCTTGATACTTTGATTAATTGTGGTAAATGAACTTGAAGGACATATAGTTCCTACTGAGCATGAAATGCTCACGCCCTATTAGCTATTGCAGGTACCGGTATGGCAGAACAAGATGATGACCTGTCTTTATATGAATAAACATATCCTATGTGTGCTGGTTTCCTAGTTGTACTTTAAATTAAGTGTTCTAGTATCTCATGAGTGTGTTGTAAGAGTTGAACTCTTTAAACTCATAATGTATTAATTAAACAGGTCTAAGTGAACTTTTAGTTGGCTCTGGTTCCATCATACTCTCGTTGTAATATTTTAATTTATTTTAAATTCTATTCACACCCTAATTCGATTATCATTCTTATTTTCGAATTTGGGGTGTGACAGTTTGGGTACAAATTTTTTGTTTTAACATACTCTATGAATTATTCAAAAACTTGTTTTGTTAAATTAGAGCAAGTCCACCAGAGGGTATAGCCTGATGGACAGGGACCAAAAAAACCCAATAGCCTGCCTTCCTTGCTCCAGCCCATACGGGTAATTGGGCTTGGGGCGGGCCCATGGGAGAGGAGAGGCAGGAATCAACGGCCAAGCGTCTGAGGGCACTGATGCAAGGCTGACGTCAGCTACATTATAAAATTAATAAAAAATGTAAAAAATTAATAAAAATGTAAAAAATTAATAAAAAATCTGAAAAAATTTAAATAAAAATTTGATTTAATTTTTCTATAAATATTTTATCATTATCTTCCACCTTACACCACAATTTTATATTTTCTCAATACTTTGGGTTGTAATTTCTTATTTAATAACACGTGATCCAACGAAATAGATTAAAAATCTTATCTGAAATTACAAATAAAATTATTTTTTATTATTTTTATAAAATAAAAAATACTAATATTTTATTGCCTATTGCCATGACTATTCAGTTTAGGGGTGGAGATGCAAAAGACAATTACTATTCATTAAAGGCAATTACTATTTATTGGCAGGGATTTAATAAGCAGTCGCCTTGAGGGCAGTGGCAAAGCCATGTGAGGGCGTGGAGTGGCGGCCGCCACTCTTGTCGCCAGAAAACAAGACTGGAACGGTGGTTCAGCCCCTCCCTTCACCGAAAAACCAATTGATTTTACTGTTGCTGCTTTCCGTCTCCGGTGTTTGTCTTGTTTCTGCTCTGCAACAATAGAGCTGCATTTTTTTTTTTTATAACACCTAGGCCAAAACGATGTCATTTTGGTCCTGGTAAAAAAATTTACAAAACATAGAACGAAACGACGTTGTTTCATATAAGTTGGAATAAAAAACTATATGCAAAGGGGGACCACTTGTCCCCCGTTCCCTTCAGTCTATCTCTCTACCTTTTTCATTCTCCAATCACAACAAAAGGTGCAGTAGCGTTGCCCTGCAATTCCCAGCAATCAGCACCCACCGGGCCACCGTTTGGCATTTTGCTGCCGCGCCAGGCGTCACCAGCAGCTACTCTCTAGCCGCCAGCTTCCAGCCTTCAAAGGCACTCTTTAGGTTAATTTTTAATCCCTAAATTTATAATCCCTAACCGTAATTAATTATTTAATATGAATTTTGTTTAATTGGTATAGAATCATATGGTAATGCACTAATATGGTTATTGGTTATTGATTATTGATATGATTCCATGATTCTTGATATAAAATTATGAAATTATTTTTTAGGGTGAAAATTAAAATTTGAATTCTTGATTATTGATTAATTAATTGAATTATTACATAATGCATACAATTATTCCTATGATTAGTTGAATTGAATATTTATTTATTGAATAATTTGTATGCTTATTGGTATTGATTAATTGAATTGTTAGTTGGATTAGTTATTATGCATATTAGTATAGTCTACTCTAGGATTAAGAGTCTAAGAATTTTTTTTCTTTCCATTTTACAGTTACGTAATGGAACGATACTATAAGAAACAATGCTTAAATTCTCCTTCAAACATTTCGGGTAGTCCTTCTCCTTCAAATATTCTGAGTAGTCCTCCTCCTCCTTCAAATATTCTAAGAAGTCCTCATTCGAATATTTCAAGTAGTTCACAACAAAGTGAGGCCACTGAGTTGGATGAAATATTGGCTAACCTTCCTGCAAACCCTAGACATAGACGTTGAATGTTTGATTATCCAACTAACTATCGTGAAGCAATTCATAAACACTGTCTTCAAAATGATCTTTGTCAACCTTGCACCCCGGGGGCCTTCCAACACAAAGTGCTCTTAGCTTGCAACTCTTGGCCATCAATGGTGTGACTTATACTGGGTATGTTGGAAAAAGCAAGAAAGAGGTTGAACAGTTGGCAACTTGTGTTGTTATTCAATCACTTCTAGGTATTGTTTTTACTATTTAATTATACATGTGTTTCTAGAGAAATTAAAAATTACATGTGTGTTAAATATTTTCTTGTGGCTGACTAATTGAATATAAATTCCCAGGAGGATCGTCTTCGGATCCTCTTTATAAGGATTCTAGAAATACTCAAATCTTGTTGGTTCATCGTATATCATGCGACCATTTTTCGTCATGTACTATTTATATTTAATTTAAAATAAAAGTATTTAAATGATTTCTTGGCGCATAATGTACGTTAAACGGACATGATTTTGGAATCCCTAAGATCCTCACAAAGAGGATCCTCATTCTATAAATTCAGGTGAATTTGAATTAGCACCCATTACGCTGGAGATTTTATAAGTCTAAGGATACTGTTAGAGAGACTAAATTTGTAGACAAAAATTATTAAACTAAATGATGTGGAAATTAACGATTGGATTATTACTTAAACGTTGATAAACATGCCCATTCCTATTGATGACATATCATTTAGTTTGTAAATTTTATCTACAAATTGTACCTCTCTAACATTACCCATAAGTCAAAATACAAACTTGCACATAAGAGCAAGGAGCAAGGTTCTTCCCATTCCGGTCTTGCAACTTCAGACAAGGTTATGTGGTCTCAAATAACACTTCAATAGCTATTGCACCTAAGGCATCATTGGAGACTTGTTTACTTAGAAATCGTTGGAGACTTTTCGTTGCAGTTAGGGATGGGCAAAATACCCATGGGTTTGGGTAACCATGATTACCCGCCCATTTCAAATTCACGGTTACAGTTATGAGTAACCGTTTAGACGAACAAATAGTTATGGGTATAACCGTTTATCCGTGAAATTTAAATGGGCGGTTATGGGTATTATCCGTTGTTATAACGGGTATCCATTTATCTATTAAATTTAATATATGTAAAATTAAAAAAAAAATTAAAAACTCTAAATTTTCAATCTTTCCGCCAGACTCAGAGTCTCAAACATCCTGTCTCCCGCTCATCTCTCCCTCCTCACTGCCCTCTCTCTCATTTCCACCGCTCATTTATCTCTCCTCGCCACCCCTCTCTCTCATCTCCGCCACCTTCTCTCTCATCTACGTTGCTCATCTCTCTCTCATCTCCGCCGCTCATCTCTCTCTCCTCGCCCATCAATGTGTGTTTTACCCTTCCGATTTCATACTAAGCATTAGTGTTTGAAAGTGTTTAGTTTCGAAATATTTTGGAGCTTTGAATCATCTAGTATTCAAGATAATGACTACTTTTTGTTTTTAGAAGCTTTACTTTGTAATCATATGAATTATAATTAAAGACTTGCTTGAGTGTAGCAGAATATCGTTTGTAAACTATTATTTCAATTATTGGAATTGTATGAGGATTTAAATGATTAAAATAGGGAATTCATGCTAAAATGTACCTATAACGGTGTTTAATTGTCAGAAAAAGAAAATTATGACAAATTTTTCTTTGTAATTTTCAATTTGTTAAAAAAACATGTAGACGGGTGAAAAAGGGGTAAATGGGTAAAAAAATGATAAACGGGTAAATGGTTATGGTTAAATGGGTAAACGGTTATGGTTAAATTGGTACACGGTTATGGGTATGGTTAACCGTTTATAAACGGTTATGGGTATGGTATAACCGTTTATGCAATTATCCAATGGGTAAACGGTTATGCGGGTATGAACATAAACGGTTATGGGTAAATAACCGCAGTTACCCAACCGTTGCCCATCCCTAGTTGCAATTGAGCATTTTCAAGTCTTGTAGTAGTTATGTGTTTTCGAGACTTGTCTACTTAGAGATATGCTATAATGACATATGTGTGAGGTTTGGAAAAAATCGTTAAGACCATCTCCAAATGAGATGTCAAATTTTGAACATAAAATTTAAATTTTGATAGCTTATGTGGCACATTGACATCTTTTAAAATTTTGTTTTCCAACCGACATGTCAAATTAAATTATTATTTTATAAAATAAATTATTAAACTAATTAAAATTTAATAAATGACATTTAAAGTTTAATCAGTAATATGTTCACTTTCTTTGATTGAAAAGAAGAAAAAAGTAGGATAATTGCATCGGTCAACTCAACATTAATTATAATAAATGATTAAACTAATTAAAAATTAATAAAATACATTCAATAATTAATAAAAAAAACATTTGAAACTGCTGTCAAATTTGACAGCAACCTCTTTTGCTGCCAATCCATGTCATCACCACATAGGATTTGACACTTTGGTTAAAGAATATTAGTGTGATATTTTTTTACTGTTATAGCTGATGTGTACATTTTGGCATCTCCTTTAGAGATGCTCTAAAGAGTTGTTTAGATTACTACTCATGATGTGGTAATGTTAGAGAGACTAGATTTTGTAATCTAAATGACATAGAAGCTGATGATTAGATTATTACTTAAACATTGATTAGCATGCTTATTTATTATTGATGACATATTATTTAATTTACAAATTTAATCTGTAAATTTAATTTTCTTAGCACTATCCTTTGATAAGTGAGGTAGTCGAGTCAAAGGGAATTTTTAAAAGTGCTTATGTGGAAAGTCCTAGAAGTTTTTCTTTCATCTTCTATCATATGCCACTCGGAGCCCAAACAATTGTTGCTTGTAAAATCCATCCGTAAACAAGGCTTTTATTAGATTTGAGTAATTAGAAACTTGTGAAAACACAACATAATTTTTAGTGTTTCAAATATCACCACACGAAAGAAACGCAAGGTACATCGGTGCATGTATTACGTCGGATACCACATTTGTGTTGGTCTTCATTCAACCTATGAAGTCCACTTAGGCCGATGATGGAGGCTTCAGTTTCGAGGATTAGATCTCCCCTTGGGCCTTCAACCATCATTGCAATTTAGATATCGAGTTTGAACCTATAATTTTCCCTTGACCTCTTTTTACACCCAAAAAAATAATAATCTAAATATTATTGTGAATTAGCATTTCATTTTCTAAAAAAAAAAAAAAGCAACCAAGAATTGTTTTTGTCAAGTTCTATTAAACGCTACAAAGTGAGATTTATAGTTTTATGGTTATATCACCAAACAATGTGGATAGTAATCTAAAAAACACGAGACTATATGGTGGGGTTGCAAATCTTACTTTAATGTCTAAATATAAAGAATATTTACAAAAATAACATAAAGTAATGTATAAATTTCAATACCTAATTATGAATATCCGTATTATTGTGATAACGTAGTTTTGTTGTGACACTGTGCATTATAAAATTTTCGTAAATTTCTTATCCCCTGTTCCTTTGAGAAATGGCAAATGATTGGAAGGATTAAAGTGGTCATTAATGAAGAAATGTGGGTTGGGTTCTGCAGTGCATGTGTTCCCTTCCCTTCATCACTTAACCTCTCACCACACCAGAAGCTGCCGAAACACACAAACTCTCTCTCTCACCGGTTGGTTCGATTGCATTTGCTTTACATTTGGTGACCGTACGTTTGAGTTGGGGAAGAAAAGCAAGAGTGCTTGTCCGCTGAGACCGCAAAGCCACAGATCGAACTAAAACCCCAACACAGAATCTTTTCCTTCATCTGATCATTCAATTGCTATGAGCAAGAGGAAGCTTCCCTCTGATGATCTCAGCCCTCCGTCTTTCTCTCCTTGTTCTTCGGGTAATTAATCTTTTTTTTTCTTCCCAATTTCTCATAAAAATGCGATGAAACAAAGAAATTTAATCAAAAGAAATCAACTTTTTTGACGGGCATTCACTGAATTATGAAAAGACGCCACCTCTGTTATTTGTTTATAAAACCCAAAATTTGGTGTGGTTATGATAATCCTTTAATCCAAATGTTACAAAATTATTGGGTTTCTTTGTTATTTTACTTTCCCATTTCGTATGATTATTTGTTTGTTAGTTGATCAATTACTTGTTTTTGCTTTCTTAATTAGATATTTTAGAAGAAGAAAAAGCCGGAATTGGAATTTAAGTTCAAATTTTTGCCAATTTTGTGGGTGTTTTGTTGGCATTTACAGCGTCAGAACAAAAATTTGATTGTGTTGGAAAACTATTTAAGTGAATTTTTAATGACATGTACTTGTTTGTTGGTTTTGTCTTTTGGGATATTGCAGGTACCATGCCATGTTCTTCTGGAATGGATTTATTAACACAAGAGGTTAGCTGTTCTTTCCTTTCTTATTCGTGTTTCGTGTTTCATCGACGTTGTATACCGAGTTTTTGATGAATTTGTAGCTTTAATGAACCCCTTTTGATCGACATTTTGTAACCGTGTTTACATTTCTTCCTATTTCATGTATTGGGAGAAATATTTATTTCTATTTTTGGTCTTTGTTTGAAGCTACTAAATCCCTAGCCTTCTGTTACACAGCATCATCCAAGCCTTGGGCGATCAATGTTCCTTAAACGCTCACATCATCACTATGCGCATCAATACTCTCGACGTAACTCAGGCAGTCTTGCTAACAAATCAACTTCTCGTGGAAAAGGAGTGCCTTTGCGTGACGATACACTCTCCTATAAGTTGGCTACTCAATCCAGCTTCGAGTCCAGACGTCATTCAGGTTTTATTTTGTATTGCCCCCTTTTTCTTCTCCTTATTTTGTTCAACTTCAAAATACCTTCATGAGGTTCTTTAGTTTTTATGGAAGATGAAGACAACGAGAACTCTTGTATGCTACATGGATGAATGGGGCATATGTAGCCAGCGTATGTTTTTAAGTATTATTTCCTATGTCGTCGGATAGGAGTATAGGAATTTACTTCTTTTGTAGTTGGATGACTATATATTCAACTCTCTGATTATTTCCTTGAGCATGACTTTTCTCAAAGAATGCTGTCGGATCTTTTTTCGCAGAATTGACTTTACTTTTTTCAATTTCTCCCCAGAAACCAAGGAAAAGCCTTTTATTCGGCCAGCCAGAATTAGATCTGGTTTCTTGGCAACGGATGCTGTATCATCGGATCCAGGGAAGATGGTATGTGGGATTTGTGACAAGCTGTTGAGGCGTAAACCTTTCTTTCTCGGTAGCACGCTGTCTTCGACTGAAGTCTCTGTTGTTGCAGTTTTAGTTTGCGGCCATCTTTACCATGCAGATTGTTTGGAGCAGAAAACAAGTTTTGAAGATAGACGCGACCCCCACTGCCCATTGTGTGCAGGATTATTGCCCAAGGTTGAAGATTCAAGAGAGTAGAGTTAGTGAGAACGGTCTTTGGGTTTTTATATCGGAAACCTATGAGGCAGAAACTGTACTTTCTTGCGAACACCTGTCTTCAACAACAACGCTCATAAGGAGTCCTATTGAAACCAAGAAATATAGGCCTGCCTGCCATCCACCCCAGAATAAATGAAGTTTGAACTCCGTGGCAACGTATGTTTGCAGCCATGATTTCATGAAGACTCTGCTTCGAGCACAAAACAAGTTAGAAGACAGATGCTGCCACCTAATTTTGTCCATTGTGTGCGCCCAAGGTTCAAACGTTCAAGGTTCGAGTGGGCATAAGTTGGTTGTAAAGTTGTTAACTTGACTCCATTGATAGCCTAGTACTGAGTACTTGATAAAAGAATCACCAAGGGTTCGTCGGAAGCTTTCTTAAGCAGATTAACTCCTAGACAGGCGAAAACTTTCGGTTTGGACTTCGATGTTAAACTGTAGTTTGTATTCAGTAGCTAATGACTGTTTTTAATGCCCTAGAAGTTAGAGGAAGCAAGCTTTGTGAGTAATGTACGAATTCTAGTTGATGTCATTTTTTGGATGTTATTTGCATATTCATAGTGTATGGATTTGTTTTCCGCTTTTCTGCAAATTTCATTTCTCTTAGTAAAAATGGATTGGAAAGCCGATGACGTGCTCACATGTAACGGGTGATCGATTATATTTTACACAAAGTCATGTGATGAGACAAAGATATGACGGTATTTCACCCGGTTATCCTCCGGAGCAGAAAAAGAAATAACAGAGCACATATGGTTTTGCTGGAACAGCAAGATTCCTAAGACTTTCGTTGTAGCAAATTGCCAGTACACATTTCAGGAACAGGACAATTCAAACGCGAAAACTACAAATTTAAAACTCTACACTAACTCAATCTCATCACAAACCTAGGTCAAATAGACCGTTTCAGAAAATGTCGATTACCACTGTACATGAATTCGGTACAGACAAGCATCTAAGATAATATGATTCAAGGATTACATCAAGAGATACTTGATGGAGGATCTACGGGAACTATACTTGATGAAGGAGCATCTACATGGTCGATGCTTGACGGAGCAGAATCTACAGGGATGATACTTGATGAAGGAGCATCTACATGGTCAATACTTGACGGAGCAGAATCTACAGGGACGATACTTGATAAAGGAGCAGCTGTGCGGACGATACTTGATGGGGGGACATCTACGGGGTCAATACTTGATGGAGGGGAATCTACAGGGACGACGCTTGATGAAAGGGCATCTACGGGGACAATACTAGATGAAGGAGCATCTACGGTGTCCATGCTTGATATAGGAGCATCTATGAGGTCCATACTTGAAAAAGGATCGTCTATGGGTTCCTTGCAGGTTTTTTTATTATGCCCTGAATCCTTGCACCTAGAGCAAAAAACTGTCCTTGCCGACACACTCTTTCTCTTGGCCTGGCTTTTCTTTTCTTGTTGCTTGGAGATTAATGGAGGAAGCACATGCGCTGCCTCTACGTCAGTTTTCTCACCATCTAAAGCCTCGAAAGGGGCCAATGCAGGGTTTATGGACTCAGAATACATCAAACGATACTTGTCAGCTCTATAGTATCTCGAACAATAATCATACACATCCCTTCCAGTGCAGTTGAAGACAGCAATAGCATGGCAGCACGGTAGACCAGTTGATTTCCAATCCAGACAACTACAGTCCCATTTACTAATATCCACAACGTTGATCAAATCCTTGTGAACCTCAAAGAGTGTATCGGATGAAAACAAGACTTTAAGACCATATGCGCAACGAGCTTCTCGTTGCAGTTTTTCCTCCTTGGATGGAGTAAGTTTTGTGGGCCACTTACTTGAATCTGTTCGGCGAGTATTTATCAGCTCCATCAACTTAGAACATAGCGCTTCAATCTTTGACACAATGGGTAACTCCTGCACTTCCTCTATCCACTTGATGTATGTCTCTGCAACATCGGATGTAAAATGGTTATAATGCTCACCTTTAAATAATGCATTTGTCCAACTTTCTGGTTCAATTTGCTGGACCCAGGCATAAGCTCGGGCAGAAACTCGTCTAATTTGATCAATACTTGCTTTAAACCCATCAAGTCGGATTGCATGGGCAGCAGCCATAAAATTGATTGGCAACGAACCCTTCCCGTCTCCATGGTATGGACCATTCAAGTTTCTCTTGAAGCTTTGCAGAAGGTGGTGCATAGAATATCCATGGTGGGCATTCTCAAATACTTCAAGCACTGATTTCTTTAGTCCCTTCTCTCTATCCGAGACAAAAGTTAAGGATTGAGAGGTTGCGAGTACAGATCTTAACTGCTCCAAAAACCACCGCCACTTATCATCATTCTTGGTGTCTACTATAGCAAATGCAACAGGGAAAAGACCATCATCTCCATCCAAAGCAGTAGCTGCCAAAAAAGTCTCATGGTATCTTGATTTTAGAGATGCAGCATCAAGAAAAAGAATAGGGCGACAACCATTCTGAAAACCATGTATTGAAGCATGAAAGCACACAAATAGGTGCTGAAATCTCCTCTCATCACCAGTGAAAAGCTTAATACTACTGCCAAGATTTGCCTCTGTCATCTTCTCACAAAATCTCGGTAAATGGTCATATGCCTCTTTATACGAACCTAGAAGTCTCTCCTTGGCATCCTCAACTGCACGCCAAACATGAGTATAGTTCACAGCAATCCCAAAATCTTGACGAATGATTTTGGCAAGTTCTTTAGGCTTGAGATGTGGGCGCTCAAGTAATCTATCCTTTACAATGCTAACCAACCAACTTCTCTTCGGATGATAATATGTTGAGAGCTCTGATTCACATGTATGTGTTTCAGTCATACTCTTTATCCTAAACTTTTTCACAGATGTGTCCCAAGATGCAAAAATTTTCCAAGAACAGTCTTCGGCTATACATCTGCCACTTGCACGGTTAGTATCGTTCTTTTTTAACTTATACATGAAACGATGGGCAATGGCATATTTTTGCAGCGCATCACGAAATTCTTTAGCACTGTTGAATTCCTGCCCAATCCCAGTGATAGCATCTTTCCATAATTTGAGTAAAAGTTCAGGTGGAGCATCATTTGATTCCACTAGATTAGCCTGGATAAGGTCATTGCTAGTACTACTATCTTTACCATGAAGGATATCTTGCCTTTGATCCACGTCATCAATTTCTGTAGCAATGTTGCAGCTAGGAATATTCTTCTTCCTGGACATACGTTTTCTTTTCTCCCAAATATGGTCAGTGACAGAACCAATGGTAGGACCATTGGCACCAATTTTCCAGGCAGCAGTGCGCCTTCGCTTCTTAACAGTATCAGCAGGGGTACAGTTCATATCAAAAACGTCCAAGCTGTGCAGATTTGCATCAGCAGTAGCAGACATGCTACTGGTTGGAATGGAATCTTCGACAGACATGTTAGAGGCAGGTTGTTTTGATAGAGGACTAGCGTGTAAAGTGGCAGCTGAAGTAGTGAAGGTTGCAACAGGGGTCACAGATTCAGCCACTTTTATCCCACATGCCCTGCAAGTGAGAATTTAAACTATCAACGAAATAAAAACTTAGAAACTTACAAAATTGCTGTAATTACTAGCCAATATGCTTCAAATACAGTAAAGAGGCCAAATTGGCAATATAACAATGTCATCATTTCTTTAAAGCAAGGAAATCGCGATACAGTCAAACAAAACAAAAGAAAGTACCTTTTTGGTGTGTTTAAGGCTTCAGCCTTAAAACCTTCTTTTCCCTGGACAAAAACATCAGCAGTTATTAAATTCCCATGGAATTCATACATCCTTTTCAGGGACTTGTCATTGGATAAAGTGATGAGAGTTCGTGTATTTCCAGGGAGAAAATACTTCATGATCACTGATTTATATTCCAAATTCAACATCTCAGCCAATTTTAACTTGAGATCATCAAATTGGGTTTCATGATTGATATCTACTGCCTGAGCATCTCCTCCCGTATATGACATGGATCCATCATCCTTTACAACAAATTCCCCACCAGACTGGCAGATTAGGATAAGCTTTGTCCTCGCCATCACAAGGACCTTCAAGCATTCAAATAAAAGAATTAAAACTAGTTTACAAATATGCCACATAATTCAGTTCCCAAAACTATCTACTACTTTCAAAGTTACCACGATCAAAATAATACATATGTCTGTAAACTATCAGTTACTATTGTCGATTCAAAATGTATTCACGAGCACAGTGTGCGTATACTATTAGCTACTTACTAGAGCTTGTGTGCATACAATATCAAAAAACCATCGTCCCAACGGGCCTGCTTTGCTAACATATATAGGCAAGCAACCAATACATCAATGGAAGTACACCAGAGAACTGTAAATATTACATAAAATTACTGAAAAAAAAGTCACTTAAATTTAACAGCATAGCATCCAAATTATTAGAAAATAGCATATTGGCTATCGTCTGATCCCACCATCACCAAAAACCCAATTCCTAAATCAGTAAATTTTCCGGTTGGTCAACGGAAAACAGGTTTAAAAAGTCAACCAATCCAACTAAGATGATCATCCAATGAAAAATCTAGCAAATTAATCCCCTTTTTTCTGAAAACCCATGAATTCTAAGTCCAAGATCATGACTTTAGCCCCCCAGAAAAACCGAAACATTCAACTTACTTTCCAGAATTCTAAGAACGCTAACATTTGTCGAATTGGGTTACTAATTTACTACTCCATGAATTTATTTTGTTACCAATTCACCAGGAAGACAGTATTGGGATAAAGAATTGAACTTTTAGTTGTGAGGCGAGAGGAGAAGAAAGGGCTTACCAGTTACCAGAGGAGGAGGTGCAGGGTGTGATGAAAACCCTGGATTTTGGGGCCTTCTGGAAATAACGATAAAAGAGGTGAATGATGCAAAAGACTTGAAAGCATAGAAGGGTGTGATAGAAATTTAAGCATAGATATTGGGCCTCGGCTTGTATTTTGGGAATTGGGATTTTCAAATTCCAAAATTAGCCCGGCGCACTTCTAAAACGGAAATGGCTTTGTTTGGAATTGTTTCTTTAAAAAGCACTTTTGCTTAGAAACACCCACATCGTGTAAGGGAAGGGATTCTTATTTTTCAAAATAAATAGGGACACCCTCTTAACAATTAGATTTGATTTTAATAAAATTATGTGGTTAAGATTAAATCACAGGTCACAGAATCTCAACCACAAAATTTCATTAAAGTCAAATCTAACAGTCAAAAGGTTGTTCCCATTTAAAAAAAAAATATTAGGAATCTCTTCCATTAAAGGCTTCCTATATATATATATATATATATATATATATATATATATATATATATATATATATATATATATATATATATATATATATATATATATATATCTTCATAGGTTCCTATTTCATGAAAAATGAGAAATTGATAGCATTAAATAGCCATCACAATGTGAGGGAATTGTGGGGGGTGGCTTGGCTATTTTTGGGAAATAGGATATACATAAAAAGAATGTAAAAGTTATTTGCTTCTAGAAAGAGGTAACGATTATCTCTTATAATTGAAGTTTTAAGGTATTGAAAAGTTGGAGATCTTCTAGCAAATACCTTAAATGTGGGGGAGTAGCATAGTTATCTTTGGATTATATGTCAACTTAAGTAGAATGAAAAAGTAATTTGCTTCTAGAAAGAGATAAAGATTATCTCTTGCAATGGTATTTTAAGGTATTGAAAGGTTTTAGACTTTTCAATAAATACCTTAAATGTGGGGGGAGTTTACCCAAGTGTTAGCAAATTACTTATCAAATCCAAAACACATGTTTGGAGAAATTACGTTGGAAAACAACTACTCTAAAAGGAAATATTTTCCATGCATGGATATAAAATTTGTGATGGTCATATAATGAGTAGTCAACGTAGTGGTACCAATTTTTAAAGGTTTGACTAGAGTGTAAGTTGTATCATCGAGGGGAATTGGTTAAAAGTCTACGTCTTAAGAATCGCCATAATGGTAACCCAACCTAGCTGACTGGAGATCCTAAGATCTAGGTTCAAAGGGACAACCGAATTGTGGATGATGCAATGGGAGCACTGCAGAGATAATCTCTTACCCATGTCCTATGACGAAATAGTGTTATCTGCAGCATATTTAGGATAAGCTTTGCTTTTAATGATTCCTATACTTGGAAATAAAAAGTGGGGTACTGCAGGATACTCTTAATGGGAAGTCACCTATCATGAGTAAGGAATGAGGCCGTTCCTGTGAGAATTTTTTTAAGGGCTTAATTATCTAAAAGCACTCATGAGAAACCAAGAATTGTTCAGGGCCAAAATGAACACAACCAAGCAACCGCAAGGTGTCTGGAAGGGTATTATGTGATTACTATTGTCATATCCCAACCCGGGCCCTCACCACATCCCAGGTTTGACTCCGTCGTAGCATGATATTGTCTGCTTTGGGCCTCAACCACACCCTCACGGTTTTGTTTCTGGGAACTCACACGATAACTTCCCAGTGGGTCACCCATCATAAGATTGCTCTCGCACGAACTTGCTTAACTTCGGAGTTCCGATGGAACCCGAAGCCAGTGAGCTCCCAAAAGGTCTTGTGCTAGGTAAATATGAGAATATACATATAAGGCTTACATGACCCACACCACTGGGTGATGTAGGATGTTACAATCCACCCCCGTTAGGGGCCCGACATCCTCATCAGCACACTTCCGGCCAAGGATTGGCTCTGATACCAAATTGTCGCATCCCGACCCTGGCTCCCACCACATCCCGGGCTCGACTCCACCGTAGCACGATATTGTTCATTTTGGGCATCGACCACACCTTCACGGTTTTGTTTTTAGGAACTCACACGAAAACTTCCCAGTGGGTCACTCATCATAGGATTGCTCTTGCGCGAACTCGCTTAACTTCGGATTTCTGATGGAACCCGAAGCCAGTGAGCTCCCAAAAGGTTTCATGCTAGGTAGAGATGAGAATATACATATAAGGCTTACATGACCCACACCATTGGGTGATGTAGGATGTTACAATTCACCCCCTTTAGGGCCCGACCTCCTCGTCAGCACACTTCCGGCCAAGGATTGGCTCTGATACCAAATTGTTGCATCCTGACCCGAGCCCCCACCACATCCAGGGCTCGACTCCACCGTAGCACGATATTGTCCGCTTTGGGCCTCAACCACGCATTCACAGTTTTGTTTCTGGGAACTCACATAAAAACTTCCCAGTGGGTCACCCATCATAGGATTGCTCTCGCGCGAACTCACTTAACTTTGAAGTTCAGATGGAACCCGAAGCCATTGAACTCCCAAAATGGCTCGTGCTAGGTAGAGATGAGAATATACATATAAAGCTTACAGGACCCACACCCTTGGGCGATGTGGGATTTTACAACTATTATCTTGGTTTACATAAACGGTTTTTAGTTCAAGACATCGCGTTCACTGATTAGCCAAGTAAATCCAATAGTAATTCACTATGGAAGGTTCAAAGCCAAAAGCCACCTATCCCGATGCGGTACTTTTCCTACTGAATTTTCTCTCTAATGTCTGCATTGTCATTTGCATGGTATTAAGTCAATTTCCATTCATGTGGAGGATTGTTAGAAAATTTCATATTATTAAATTTATTAATTGAATGGAAATTAGAAGTTAAGCCTTTTGGTAGAAAGATGTGTCTACTCAAATGAAGAGTTGTAACTTTTGACTCTTCATGAATAGTCACATACTTTCCAAAAATGTATCTCACATTCTATAAATATGGAAGCCCCCTATAATCACAAGATGACTTTTCATCATACATACATATAGTGCATTAAATATTATAGAGTCTCATTGAGTTTATATGAGAGAGCTTTCAACACAATTGTGGTTCATAAAGCCTTATGATTTGGAGTGCTACTATTACAAGGACGTGGTCATTGTATCTTGGGAGACATGCACCGATCAACTATGAGCACCGTAGTGGGGCGTAAACTTGTCTTAAGAACAAAGTGTCCAACACTTGTCTTGACTGTATTTTCTAGGTTTTTCTAATCCATTATATCATGTTCATTTAACATTGGTTACTCATGTGCATGCATGATTGTGATATATAATTTCATGAATTATTTCTTGATTTTCTTTGTGATTTATTATAGCAATTAGACCCTATTTTTCCAACACTTTTAGTGTAAAAAATATCGATGTACTAAAAAAAAAAGAAAAAAGAAAAGTGAAATGAAAACCTGTGATTGCACTTGGAACAGGGTGTGGAGTAGTTGGGTTAGGTGAGTTTCTTTTGTTTCTCTCAAATTATACCACTTTTAATCTACATGGCTTTCTATGCTATTCGTTCTCGATTTTTCTCTCAGGCATGGTATTACTGGATGTGTGATGTCGTTACGACAGATCGAGTAGAGGTTTTGCCTTTGGGATGAGAAAACATGGAATATGCAATCTCATGATTAATATAAATAATATTTATATTTCATATATCTTTGCAAGGAACAACAGTACACGTGAAGGTAATATATGTATATAAACTCTACTCCTTAACACATATTTTCTATACTGTCAATAATTTTTCAAACCTCACAGCAACGCATGGTATACCTGCTTGTGATGGCTAAAAGTCATTAAGTAGGTTAAAATTGTTGATTTTCCAAATTCCCCTATAGAGGAATTAAAATTTCATGCTTTGGCAATTCCCTTCGAATCTCAGCCCATCCTACTTTTAAATCCTAAATCCGTGCTTGAAGGCATGGTTGCTACAATACGAGATGATCTTACCATGTTACAACGTGATCATGTACGTGATAGGAGATAGTAACGCACGATTGTATTTTGTCGTTGACACCTTACTTCTTTACCATGCCCGTTTCAACATGCATAACAAGGCAGTAGGGGGCTAGAAGCCAGTAGGTAAAGTGCAATGGCTTGCAAACACAAGACCTTTATGCTTGAGCTGGGGTTTGGGCTTGAAGTTACTATCCACATTGTTAGGCGAGATAAGAATATAACCATAAATCTCACTTTGTAGCGTTTAACAGAACTTGACAAAAATAATTCTTGATTGCTTTTTTCTAGAAATTGATATGCTAATTCACAATAATATTTAGATTATTTTTTTGGTGTAAAAAGAGGTCAATAGAAAATTATAGGTTCAAAACTCTATATCTAAAGATTAATGCTAAGGAGACTAAATTTATAAACAAAATTTGGAAACCAAATAATGTGTAACCAATAAAAAATTTATACGTTTATCAACGCTTAAGTAGTAATCCAATGATCAACTTTTCTGTCATTTAATTTCTAAATTTTGTCTATAAATTTAATCTCTTTGACATTATCTATATCTAAATTGTGATGGTGGTTGAGATCTAAGCGTCAAAACTGAAGCCCCAATCATCGGCCCAAGCGGACTACGTTGTTTGAATGAAGATCAAAGAGGAACTTCCACGACTTTCCACATAAGCACTTTTAAAAATTCCCTTGACACGACTACCTCACATAACCGTCCACGTGTCCGGAAAACTCTTGGCACTAGCATATATAGTGCTTTCCTGGCTTTATATTATTCTCCTTTCGAATTCCCCCTTTTAGTTATTGGAACTCAAAATGTTTGTTGTGTACGAAAAAGTCGATGCCGCTTTTGTCAAAGCTTCTTCCATAATCATGTTCATCTTCATATCGGAATCCAATCTTCATTTCCATATTCATATTTAATTGTCATAGAGCTTATTACAAACAATAATTTATGTCTCAAATAATTATATTAAAACGACATAACTTATACAGTGCTGATATAAGAGAGAGATACGTTGTTATTGTATAAAACTCATTTATACAATACATATATGAGTGCATCAATTTTGTATATATAGAGTAATATTACTTTTATTGGTGCTGCAACAATCAACAAGAAGATTTAAGTGGGGTTTTGGTCTCTTTTTTTT